GACTAGTTGAATTTGAACTTTTGCCCCTTCTGACCAAGTCTTGACCTCTGACCTGCTTAACCAATAACATGAAAGATAAATTTCCTCACTGTAATCTCAAAAGCATCTCCATCATATAGAGAAAGTGTATATATATTAAAACAGGGCTGTCTGTATTAACTTTCTCTGTATTGATTTATACTAATCCAGACTTAAGGTTAGCTTTGACGGCAGTCTTCAACTTGTATGTTTAATCTGCTGCGGTTTGACCCCTAGCAGTGGGTGTATTAGTGGGTCAGGCAGTCTTTACGAAGCTTCACGTCTGCTCAGGCCAGGCTCTCCCACCCCACTCCTTCAGACAAAAGGCCCAGATGGTGGGGCAAAGATGTGGCCCATCCCTCCTCTAAACCCCTTCCATCAACCTTTGTCTCTGCTGCTGTCCTTTGTTCCTGTTAAAGACCCCAAACACAGATTAACTCTTTGCACACTGTTCTCCTGTTTTGGCATGTGTCTGAATTTCACTTTGGCCCAATTTGGATATATTTTTCTCCACTGGGAACCAGCAAGGAACCAAGGGGTAAAAACACTTCACCAGTTACTAGGAGTTATCTAGACAATTTTGAGGGATGTAAACAATAAAAATAGTCCTAATGTATTTCCTGCTTTATATTTTTATTTTCGATAGTTTCTGAAAATCCGTGAAAGTCCACATATTGATACATTGTTTTTATTATGACAGCTGTTTTAACATTTGTTAAGACTAAATCAACAATTTTTACAGTTCTGAAATAGTTTGATGACAAGAAGGAACTGTACATGGGTCAATGGTATTATCATATTGAAATATCAGTGATCCCCAACCTTTTTGCTAGGCAACCATCAACCATTTTCTCAGAGGCTGACAAAACATTGCTGCCACTCTGATACAAGTTTTATTTATGGAGAAAATTACCAAGCACTACAGTGTTTGGGTGTTCTGTGTTTGTCTGAGATAATTACTCTATTGAAATGTTAATATTCCATACACGCTGAAGCTGATCGGTCAGTTCTTGTCAGGTGACTTGCGGTGGGCTCCCGCATTCAATCAACTGTGTGCGTTTAGAAGGCGCCAGATCTAGAAAAGATGTCATATGCGAACGTCATTTGCAGTTCACGAGCAGTTGATCTTCTTGCACAGACATGGTGGATTCACCTGATTTGTGGACAAATGGGTTG